CCTGCCACTCCCTCTTTCATTCTGACCCTTTCTCTCTCCACTCGATACCTCAGTCTTTCCATTCCGTGTCCCTTCGGTGTCCCTTCCGTGCCCCATTCGAGGCTCTACCATCTCCTCTGTATCTCCTCTGAGAGATACAGGAGATACAGAGGCTCTACCATCTCCTCTGAGAGAGAGAGTTTCTCCTCTCTCTCTCTCTCTCTCTCTCTCTCTCTCTCTCTCTCTCTCTCTCTCTCTCTCTCTCTCTCTCTCTCTCTCTCTCTCTCTCTCTCTCTCTCTGTCTCTCCCTCCTCCCTTTCGCTAGCATCTCACACTGCCAATAGGCTACACTCTACCCGTTATCCCTCCCTGTTTTCCCTGTTCCGCGAGGAAGGAAGTGATTGGTTCTCCGTCTTCATCGGGCTCAGTCATAACTGATCAATGAAGATCAGGATGATCTGGTCGTCCAATCGCCTGTCTGCGTCTGCGCATATTTCTCTCTTATATCAAGAGTATCCTCCCAAGAGATTCAAGCAGACATGTCGCATACGAATATCGAATGAAGTTTCAATTGATGTAATGTGAGTTGTGACGCACGGTACACAACGGATCGCAAACGGCTCTGTTGCATAGTAGAACAAGAAGTAATATCGCGCTCACTGACAGTGATGCGTAAAATGTATTGCCAATTTGCGTGACCGCTTCAATGCGAAGTGAAGGCACGACAATGTTGACATTTGACGCTCGAGGGAGCAGCTGCAGAATAAGAATTCTTTGCTCAGTGTTCTGGGTCTGAATTCAACGACATTGGATGGGTGACTCGAGCTCCACCGAACAAGTTCCACCGTTCATCTGAGTTCTTCGGGTTTTATGGGATCAGGGGGAGCGTGACCATAATTGAATCTTTTTAAATCGTAGCTGACTCAATGTAAGGTGATCGGGTCCCGAAGAAAGTATACAGAGAAAGAAACACCACTCCTCGCTTGTCGTGGCAAGGGAAGACGCTTCTGATTGCATGGGACAAGTTTTGGTTTCAGCTGTTTTTTTTTTCGTTTGTTTTACTCCGTACCTCGCTACACCTCGGCATGCTTACTTGAACAGGCAATCAATTAGCTTAGAAATGTGCCATAAAAGATGCTCAATGTCGCATTCTCTTTGAAGTTGTAAATCACACGGTTCACTTTTGAGAATAGCAGGCGGTGCGTTTCCCTGGAATGTACATTTCCACTGAAAACGTGCCACCTTTTCTATTTTTTCTCATCGGAAGTGATCCGACCGACCAGCGACGCTTGGCTTCGGTCGGTGGAAACGGCAGAGATAAAAGAACGGGCGATTGTCAGCCCGGCCATTGGACTCCAAAGGCCGGCACGTCTCAAAGAGGCGAGGGGCCTTTTTATGAGTGTCGACAGCTCGAAGCGCCGTTTCAATTAAATCTGAACGAAACTGATCAGTGTCGCATCGACGGATATTGCATCTCAAATGCGTTGGACGCTGTGGCGCTTTTCGACGTCACAATTGTACAATGGTGCACTAGACAATCGATTAATATAAATTTGGATATCAAAATGTTCGGTGACGCCTATTAGGCGTTTCTAACAAACATTTACTGTTAACGCCAGACCCCTTGAGACCCTAATTTTTCGCGATTACTTTTAAATGCGTGAAGGAATTTCAACCAAGCTCAGGACATGGCCGTTTCAAGACAGGCCGAAACTTTTACAATTTAGATATTTTATCGCCATTTCAATATTTCAGGCACTTGTCATTGACTCGTAATGTTAAATTTCGAGCAAGATTTTCATCCGGTGTGTAGAGGCTATCACCAGTCAGTCTGTGATACGTTATGACGTCACAGCTAAGCCCCGCCTCTGTGGTCTTGGCCTGCGGCGGTTTCGGGCCGGCGCGCGGTCACTCTCGCTGTGGCGGGGAGCGGGGACGGGCGACGGTCGAGCGGTGCCGAAAGCCGGCGGAGTTGTGCGTAGCGTCTTGGCCGACAGTGCCCAGAGAGCGACATGATGACTAAGGAGTCATAAATGCTCAATGCGCATTGCTTCTACAATGCTGATATGTTCGCTGATATATATTTTTTTTTATAAGCTGCATATGACGGGCAGATGGCATATAACTGACATAAGGTTAGGAAATATTCACCTGTATTTAAAGCCTATGGCGTTGCAGATAATGCGATAATGGGATGTCGGATGTCACCAAGTAGCTGGCGATTTGTCATTGACATCGCTATGCAACCATCGAACAACGCAATAATAAGTTAATTGCCTGAGCTTCACATCATACGGCTCGCTCGTATTTCACACAGATACCCTACATCGAAAATCGTATTTGTTAGGAATCGTTAACGTTTGTTCGAAGCACGACTGAGTAGTAGGTTGAGGAGTGATGGTCCTCTTGGTCCTATATACAAGAGTCAACAAGAGCCTAACATTTACTTGACCGTCTGCTGCAATTGACTCATAGCACGTGAAGCGTCAGCGAAATTCATAGTCCTTCACAGATGGCAGGGGTGTCGTTTGTACAGAGGTCGCTGATGGGCACGGGTCAATGCCGCAGTCGTGGGCGGAGCCTAATGTCATATGACGTAGAAAGCCTCTATCCAGGATGGAAAAACAGTTAACATTACAAGTCAATGACAAGTGCCTGAAACATTGAAATGGCGATAAAATATCTAAATTGTAAAAGTTTCGGCCTGTCTTGAAACGGCCATGTCCTGAGCTTGGTTGAAATTCTTTCACGCATTTAGGGGAAGCGGGGGTAGCACCGCCATGTGGGAAACACCGCCATCCTCTCTATCGGCAAAACTCTGAATTGTAAATGTAAACACCCGCCATTTCGGTGTCCGAACGGAAACGGGACGCCGCGTGAGGTAGGTTTCGCTCAGATTTATTTGATTTTGAGATCGCAATTGCCCATTTTGTGAATTTCAAACCATCGTTGTAATCATTTGGCATGTTTGAGCAGCAAGTAAGTGGTCATTTCAAGTCAAAATGCCTTGATTTTTACGCTAAATTTGAGGGCATGAAGTGCTCTTTGTTGAGAAAGGAATTACAGAAGAATCGCGTCCCGGCTTGTTTTGCTGTCGGGGCGTTGTCGGTCCATGACTGTGAGTGGGGTAACACCGCCATGCTCGGCGGTGCTACCCCAAGGGGTGGCAAAATGGATAAAGCCGCAATGATGATTCACTCAGCTCGGAGAAGAGCTTTAGTTAGGCCGCAAACGTCGTCTGTTTTTTAACCTCACGTTTGACTTCACTGGATGTTTCGAAATAAACGTGAATTTGTCATGCTTTGTATGCATATTGTCCGCAACAAACAGTCTGATCTGTGACAAACTAACAACCAATTCTTGTGTGTCTTATATGAGTTTGAGTTACTATTTCAGACAGCAGTAACCCTTCCAAGGGTGGCTGTCACCGTAAGGCCGATCTGTGGATAACATCGCCATCAGTGGCGGTGCTACCCGCACATTTTTTGGAGGACGAAAAATGCAGGACTTGTTTTCGACGTCTGTAAAGTAGCGAAATTTTATAATGGAGCGCTGGAAACTATGCCAACATGTAGGAAAACATTCCTACTTTCACATGAATGCAAAAGAGCTTCGTTTTTACTACGCATATCAGCTCGGTGAGCAGAAATGCTTAAGGTGGCGGTGCTCCCCCCGCTTCCCCTAAAAGTAATCGCGAAAAATTAGGGTCTCAAGGGGTCTGGCGTTAACAGTAGTTGCTTAAAGAAAAAGTTAAGTGGCAACATGCTCTTTCATGATATATCATACGAAACATTCAATCATGCTTTCTTTCATATGACGTATGTAAGTATGTCACTTTAATTTGATAGAGTAAACCGCATCCGGGTTTGTTGTTGGGTTGCTGTCGATGTAAATATTTAAGCATGTAGCGTAGCCGCATCCTAACCTAACCCAATTGCTTGAAGCATTATCGAAGTAATCACTGCCGCTTGCCGTCTTCAACTCCCCAGTGACTATAAGTCGTGGCTATGTATGGCCTCTATACTTCCCAGCCTCCTCCCTCTCCCCCCCCCCCCGAGACGCTGACAGACAGGCACACAGCCACGTCCACGCAGAGTGCGTATCTCCGTTGGCTCGGTCTGCCGGGGAGGGGAAGGGGCGGGGGATGGATCGCTGCCAAATCAGACGCTCCCCCCCCCCCTCCTTCGGACACGCAGCTCGTAATGATGTGGGGGTGCGAGGGCTGCCGATAGACGAGAAGGGCCGACGTTGGCCGTCCATGGCAGGGTAACGAGAGATCGTCTGGGGAGGTGGTAGCTTCAGATGCCGCTTTGGTTGGTTTTTTGGTCTGCTCTGATAAAATGTTGAACTGTTTGTGCCAAAAGCTCTAAAGGGCGCTTAACCTGCCAGGAAATTACAATGATGCCTACAATGCTCAAGAAATATATGAGGTCTTGTGTCATATCCTCTGTCCGTATCTGTATCAAAATGCAGCAATACAAGTAGAAACTAGAAAGTATTTCATACAGCTACTTCCGATCTCAGGAATTCCATGAAAAGCATTAGCATGCCACCACCACTCTGTCTGTGAAACTCGCCATACATTTGATTCCTTGTCTTGGGTCAGTGCTGCCGAGAAGCTGCACAGTGCGATAAGGCCAGCCGTCATACCTTTCTGACATCGCTCTAATGTTCGCCTGTCCCACCTTTGACGCTAATGTGACCCTCACCTACGACGTATGGCGTCATTACGTCAACCATTGCGCTCAGTCGGCCGCGAGCCATAGCCACCAACTGCCATTGTTCCAGTTATTGGTGCCACTGCCAGGTCGTGGGCTTTCATGCTTTAGCGCTATCCGCACAGTGGTGATTACAACACTCAACACTCATGAACAGGCATCATTGTTGAATGAGACTGGACAGTGGTAAATGCTGATGACAAAACATCACAAAAGAGACACTTGATACCATTATCCAGGAGCCAGCACCCAGTAATCACCATATCGTCGAGGTAATTAACTGTGCCGTCTGACTGTTCACAGGTGTCTGCCCGAAGGGTACCAAGTACGTCTGTGAGTTGCGCAGCGGTGAGGCGCGCTACTGTCTGCAGGAGGTCTTCATCTGCGACGGAGTACGACACTGCAAAAACGGAGAGGACGAGGGCGTCGACCTCTGCAGTGAGTACATCAATCGCTCCACGTTCTCCGACGGCTTTCGCTTTTAAAAGCACTTAAATGTGTGTAAAAATCCGTGTGCTTTTTGTTGACCATTCCAGGATATTTCACTGAATGCTCGTACGAAGTATCGGCAAAATAACGTAACATGTCTATCCAGTGCACACTGACACTGCACACAAACTATTTCCGCTTCAGTGATACATGGCCCGTTTTTTTAACGAGTGGTGTCGCAGTGGTTCAGTTGAACTCATTATAAAAATAATATAAACATTTAACACCGATCGTTGGGAACACCTGCGCGGATTTATACTCATTTGTAGCTAGGTTAAGTTTTGATTACCTTGTCTATTCTTCTTTCATCAGCGTTTATAATTGAACGCAACAACATATCAGTGTACTGTGATGAATGCACAAAATGTAATAAATTGCCTGCATCCCTGACAATATGTTGCTGCTTTGGTGTAGTTTTATCACAATTTTACGACTGTCGGTACGTCTTGAAGGCAATTCTGCTGAGGCCCCACGGCGCGTAAATGACTCTGTTTGGCTGTTTCAGAGAGGGGGAAGATAGCTACAACCATATACGATCCCAGATTGTACGGAAACGCCTCGAAGCTCTTCGGCGATCGTGACTCCTGCCGTAAGTTTTGTTTATGAAAAGGGGAATATGTAACTGATGTCAACAGAGTGCGTTAAAGAAGAAAACATAAGTATGAGACAATCTGACAAACTTCCACCTTAGATACAATTCATGATTGGGTTTTAATGGCACCCTAAGTACTGGGGCATTCCACGATAGATCGACCAAAGCCGTACACCCTCATATTTTATTTTTTGCTTAAAATTGGTCTAATGGGTTGTGATGGGCGGGGAAGCCAGCTGTGCCAAGGATTTTTTTCTTCGAACAACGGTTTCCGAGATATAGCCTCAGGCAATTCCTGGAGGTCACGCTGCAATCCTATGTTTGGCGGCTTATAACTCAGAAATTATTGGTTTTCTATGGTAAAAACTTTAAATGGTTCAACTCGCAATCAACCAACAAACGTTTTGGCTATCTCGGATTTTCGATTTTGAAAATTTTGATCACGTGACATCTTGACCTTTTTTCGAAGAGTGACCTTGATATTTTCCCAACTGAAAGTCGCAATTATGTCTGATGACGATTAAAGCCTTATCAATTGTCATTCATATGCGACAATAAAAAATTGGCTTTTGGCCTGCATTGACCTGAGATCAGGTCATTTTTGTGACCTGTCCTTTATAAGTCAATGGCAGAAATATCGGCTACCACCGAAACGCATCTGACCGGTTCAAATACTTTTGAATCATGTTGAGTTAGGCTATATTTGATGGCACTGGTGCAGCTTTGTATCAGTGACCCGCTGAAAGGTCATCCGAGGCCACGCGTTGAACACACAATAATTTTCCGTTTTTGGCTGTACCTTTTGCTCTAATAAAGAAAGAGACGTAGAGTAGGCACCAATGCGTTTGCTTTCGCCTAGCGCCAGTTCGTTTTGAATTTCAATACCGATGACCTAAGGTCAGGTCAATTTCTTGACCACCCCATTATAAGTCAATTGGGGAAAAATCAGCTCCATTATTTTTACAGTAAAACGCGTCGGAATTGCCTAATATACCATGAGTGACTTCATATACGACTAACTTTGACTACCTTGAGACCTTTTTTGCTCTTGGTCAACTGTGGCGTTGCTCTTGGGTCATGTGACGTCATTATGTAAAGGTCACCAAATGTTTTTTGCTAATAACTCCTTACAGGTTTGAGATACAGCCGCGCGGATAGGCTCATTGTGTTCAGCTCGTCAAGGCCCATCGAATGATATATATGATGACCTTAAGGTCACGTGACCTAAGGTCAACTTTTGACCTTGACCTTTCGAGGTCAACATACACATGTTTCGATGCGGATCGACGAGAAGATCACGATGGTGCTATTAGTTTGTTACTAGCTGTGATACTTTGAAAGTTATTCGAGAAAAACTTAATATAGGGGAGAGCGGGGCAATGGCGGACAGTGGGTAATGCCGGCCACCCATCTCTTGTGAGTACTTTGTCCATCACTAATCAGCTGATGTTGTTTACATTTCAGTTGAGCGCCATTCTAGCACGTGGTGCAAGTTTGTCACGGTAGCTCCATTATTTTCATTTTTATAGCGTTAAATGTGTTTTTCGTATCTGATTTTTAATTTTTGTTGCATCTATTTGCTGACTGTGAAATGTGTTAACCCTAGAACGCCTAGGGGGGGGGTTGTATCAACCCCCCCCTGAGGTTTTTTCGAAGTGCACGCTAAACGGCTTGTCGTAGCGGGCTGAAATTTTCAATACCCACTGGGGCAACCTTTGCGCATCTTTTGCCGAAAAAAAATTGATCGGGTCATGTCAGGTCACGGAGTTATGACGTCATAAGAGGTACAGCCTCCGGCCGGATTTTCACAAACTGAGTGCCAACGCCCGAGGTTTCCTGCCGGTGGTACGAACATCGGTTGATGGATCGTGATGAAACTTCCCATGCATGTTGGGGCAAGTATTGGCTATCATATGGCATAAGAAATTTGACCGGGTCAGGTCAGGTCACGGAGCTATGACGTCACAAGAGGAACAGCGTCCGGTACTATTTTTGAAAAGCGCCCGAACCACTATTTTGCTAATTCTTGTCACCTCAATGGGAATATGCAGCAATATTAGCTTCTATAGGGAGGAAATGGACCTCCCAAATCCAAAAATACAATCAGATTTCAAAAATTTAAATTTTGATTTTTCGAATTTCTGCCGCCGACTGTGACCTTGCCGACTTCCGGCGCTCCCAACGCGCCATTTTTAGAGCTAGGGAAACGAAATACATACCAAACGATAGAGAATTGATCAAGGAACACAATAGTGAAGGTTTCAAGTCGATATCTCCCACCGTTTTGCCGCAATCGCCGCCGAAAGTTGAAAAAAGTCTATTTTTCCGAAAATTTGACCTTTGACCGGTCAAAAGTAGGTCAAATGTTGACCTAGGACCAAAAAATATACCACCAATCGCGAGATCTCGTTGAGAGCAATCCGTTGGTTTTTTCCGCTAAGCTCTACGACCTTCCGTTTCGAAACGCCAGGGGGGGGGGTCGTAACAACCCCCCCCCTGGTCGTTCGTGTTATGAGAAATGGCCTGGTCGTGCGAGGGTTAACGCATTTTCAGAAGTGCTGCTTTGCAATGACCTTCAATTAAGCCTTTCTTAGGCGACTGCTGGATGTGAGGGGTTTGCGACACAATGCCTTTGACTGCTGCCTGCTTTCTTAAAATAAAGCTGACCTCGGGGTAATACCGGACACGTGTCCGGAATGACCCCACGCGGTTTTGTTTGCGACTTCTGTCGTTAAAGCTCAACGTTTCGGGTTGCTGTGTTTACGGCTGTGTTAGTTTGCTTGCTGTTTACGGTTGTGTTAGTTTGCTGCTCTGTTGGCGCCGCGCTGTTGTGTTGCAGCGAGTGCAGTGTTGTGTTGCAGTGCAATGCACTGTTAACTGCTGAGTACAGTTGTCGTTTCTTAATTCTCACTTAAATTTCCATCGAAAGAACGGTTTGAGGATGAATACCAGTGACGATATTTCGACTTTTTGTGCTATTGCACTTAGTGGCCGGCATTACCCCTCGCTTTTTTGCACCTCCATTTTTCACCACATTTTCGCGTAGGCTCTGAATCTGTCATCAGTGATCTGAGATACTAAAACTGGGTGTTATCTGAAAGCCTATTCCTTTGGCTACAACCACAGTCAAAATCACCATAAAATAGCTTCAAACAGCTAAGCTATTGAGCAAAATGCTTATGGTGTCGCCATTGCCCCACTCTCCCCTATATATGTAGTGCCGCCATTTCGACTTTCTTTTTACCTCTGTGACGTCATCTTTGACCTGAACTGAAAATGACCTGAGTAAAAATTGTAGACCTTATCCATGTGTACCCTGTGCCGTTTACCGCTTGTCGCTATCTTGATTTGTTCTCGAGATGTCGCTGTCGCTCCCGCTCGTAATAATGGGAAGGTCATAAAAATTACCTGACCTGAGGTCAACGCAGGCCGAAAGCCACTTTTTTATTATCGCATATGAATGACAACTGATAAGGCTTTAATCGTCATCAGACAAAATTGCGACTTTCAGTTGGAAAAATATCTAGGTCACTCTTCGAAAAAAGGTCAAGATGTCACGTGATCAAAATTTTCAAAAATCGAAAACCCGAGATAGCCAAAACGTTTGTTGGTTGATTGCGAGTTGAACCATTTAAAGTTTTTACCATAGAAAACCAATAATTTCTGAGTTATAAGCCGCCAAACATAGGGTTGCAGCGTGACCTCCAGGAATTGCCTGAGGCTATTTCTCGGAAACCGTTGTTCGAAGAAAAAAATCATTGCCACAGCTGGGTTCCCCGCCTATCACAACCCATTAGACCAATTTTAAGCAAAAAATAAAGTATGAGGGTGTAGATTTTATTTATTTTTGGTCGATCTATCGTGGAATGCCCCTACTAGTCGATTCCTTAGTACATAGTTTTCATCTGTACTACAGGTGCTGCCGAGAGGTACCGATACAGGTTACCTGTGCCCAAATTTCTTACCAGTCATTTGCTCCATGTGCATCAGAACTGGAGAACTACAATCAGCCGGTGTGTAACTGTGTCTACAACACTCGCCTGGAGTGTGACGACAGACAACTGACGCGGATACCGGGCAACGTCAGTCCAAACGTCACGCGCATGTAAGTACGTACGTGACGTATGCTGCCCCGGGAGAGTGTCAATCGAACCCAAGGCGATATATGTAAAGGGTCGAACCGGCTATACTCTGGTCTTTTCCACGCGATGTTTTCAAACTTCAGCCCCCACGTCACGCCCATTGATGTTCTTGGTTACCATCAGCTACAAACAGCGTCAAGCCTGACTCGGACGTCTGCTGTCCTGTAAGATCACATCAGTCCCAACATCAGACCAATACGAGTTATTCCGTCCCGCTGCATACCGTCCCGCTTCAAATCCTCGGCAGTAAAATCCGCCGACGGTGTAGGATGCCATGAGCCTCACCCCTTATATTTCCTCTGTTGATAAATTGCTGTTGATAAACAATTTTCAGCTATCATACGACCAATGTTGAGCATCTCTAAGCCGTTTCATTGGATCAAATTATCATAGTACTCATACTGATTCCATATACCTACAGTGATGCACGTTCGATGGCGCACAATGCTTATCGATTCATAATCAGTATAGTCAGTATAGTCGGAAGACAGCACAAACCGGCGTTATTACGCATGCAAAATGTCATTGCCCCATTTGCATAGTAAACGACGATGTAATCACATTCCCAGTACCCCACGGTCCGAGTTGATCCATTTTCCGGTATCTGGACAGGCTGAAGTCCAGTCCAGTTTGATCGGGTGCTGAAGATCATGCATGATGCATGTGGCATTAGACTGTCATTATGCATGGTGTGTGCAGTGTGCATTGTCTGCAGAGCCAGCTGATAGCTGTTGGCAATAGTGCCCACTCTATCTCATACTTGCTTGTCTAATGAAAGGAGACGGAGCATCATGAACTTTATGTGCAATATTATCTAACATATAAGCGCGGTTTATTGCAGATAGCAGTTTTCAATTAAGACCGGGAGGCCTCCATGTAAGATATTTCATAGTAATGACTTTGTGTTCATTGACGTTAAAATCAAGTTTTTAGCCCTTCTTGTAAAGCAAGTATTTACTGGTTTATTGATATCTTAGTGAAGTCATTAAAACAGCAAGCCTTTTATTATACTTGACGTCATTTTCGTTGCATTGAGCGTGTTTGTACTCTTTAAAAACCAACAATAGCCCACACAATTAGGTATGTGTCTGTAATAATTACTTTTACAAAGCACACTTATTATTGCTTCTGATATCGAGCATTCCTCTTTTTTTTTTTTTTTTGATTAACGCTGGCGAAAATTAAGTTCGAACATAATGGTATGTTGATCAAACATCAAATTGAGGAAACGCAGCAGTTGGTCCATCGGGAAAAACACTTCATTCAACGACAAAGAAAAATATATATTAGGCAGTCAACTTTGCCGAAAAGTTACGGGCAACTGAGTTTCATAACTCCAGAAGTAGAATTCTGGAACCACTGGAATCTAAATGAGGTCTAGATGGGCTGCTAATTTTCCTGACCTCCAGGCGAAATGGAAGCTGTTCAGGGGCATGCTTTGAAGAAGTACACCGTTCTAATCATGGGATGCTCATAGTTTCAGTTCTTTGCTAAGTGCTCCACATATAAAACAATGCTTGTTTACTGCTCAGTGCTCATATCTATTGTTATATATATGACATACAATTAGAAAAATCCGTTGGTGATGAATAAATATGTACTTAGTGATTGGGAATCCAAAGTTATTGTTCAAATGCTTATATATGTAGGTATCGAACAAAGGCCCGATTCGAAAAAAGAATACCCAAATTCATTTGGGCCATCCATGTGGTAGGTATTTCTGCTACCAAGAGTGAGGAAAGGGACTAGATCCGGTTGATTCGGTCTCCCGTCTTTCCACGCCCGTCCGGCGGAACCCTGTCAAACACGGTCCGTGGCTCAAACATCCAGCACGGGCCGGGCATTTCCAAACACCTCCCCTCCAGCGCTCAGGCGGATACTAGAGCGCCTGTCTACACTCTGAGGTCAGCAATAGAGCTTCTATTTAGACACCCCAACCGGTCAGCGTCACTGGTCAGGTGTAACACACTTCAGGCACGCGGCGACGAGCTCCGGTATGAACCGCGCTTTAGGGCGATCCAGTTAGAGTGGGGTGTAACACGTGCTACTACCGGGAGGCCGCGGGCTGAGGGCGGGTTCACAGGGTGGCGTCAGGGTATGTGTTTACTGGAGCTGCGGGCTGTGAGGTCGGACTAATCCGGGCTCGCATACCGACCGTTTTAGATCACAGGTGCTTTTGGATGATGCAAAGGTAGCGAAGAGCATGGTGGGCAAACCTTTAAACTTTCAGGCTTTCGATATGGCTGAAGGATTAAATCATAATTACAGTTAATTACGTACGTGTGTAATTATGCTGTGTTTGGTTGAATTCTGTCAGAAGTTAACCCGCATTTGTTCATTCGAGATAGAGGTGAGAAAACTGCACTCGTAGCTCCCTTAGCGCAGCAAATTGTTCATGCATGTAGGTATGCAATGTGCATTGGAAAGGATAGCAAGTCAAGTGCCGTTGCAACATATGTTTTAGGCCGGGTATGAGAGCCACTTTAGGTCCGCACCTGATAGTGCTGATGTCATTTAGGTCGGAAGGGATTTAATTAAAGTCGAAACAAGGTCATCGTTCTTTGCTAGTCGGGATATTCCTCCTTTTTATCACACCGCACTGGTGCAATGCTTCCCTTGCACGGTTCCAAGAGGCCTCAGAGGTGCTTTCCGTGTAGTTGCCAGCTGATGACATCGTTTTTGTACTTGGAGCTGAAGTATGCAAGCTGTCCTCAACACTTTAGCTTGCTAGGTGATGCCACAACTGGAAATCTACATATTTAAGTGCTGCCGCTAATATCGTGTCTCATTCATATGATGAATACACGTTGCTCGTTTCAACAAAGCGAATCGATGACAAGTTTACGTTTTTTTTTTTACATTCTTTGAGAAAACTCTGTTTTTAATGATACTTATATCTTAACTTCGTTTGTAGGCAAAATATAAATTCAACACTTCAGATGTGCTAGATGTGCATTGTGCAATAAAATAGCTACCGATTCCTGGATCTGGCATGGTCAGCTAGACTCATGTGCGGCAGTGGGGCAGTCACGTGCCCCGTACTTTGGCACCCATAAGGACGCTTTGCCTACGGCATGCGGAATGAAAGCTAAATGGCATCATCGCAGCTCAATAGCGTATAGATAGCTGATACCAGATATGAATTCTGATGTGATGATGAACATAGCCGGCTAAGCCGAAATTAAGCACAGGAAAATGGCCACAATGACGCTTGATTGAAAACTCAGCAACTACACATATAGTTATTTGACAGAGCTTTGTCTATGTGATTGCTGATGAATGCTAGACAATCCCAAGAAAATTTGCCTTTTATCCTCTGGCGTTGGAATAAAATTACATTACATGTAGGCAATTATCCGCATTCAAGCTCCAAATGCTATTACATCAAATGCGAATAGCGATATTAGACCTCCATATTTAATTATCGATCTATAGTTGCTGGCTCAGGATAGCAATGCACACACAAGAAAAGAAATCCTGTAGGTATATCCTATTACACATATACATATATCCTATTACACAATATACATATCAGTAAAAGGCTCCAAGGCTCCATTTTGATAGCAGATGTACCATTTTCACAAGTAGGCAATGGGCGTTATAAAGCCATGGGTATGCTGCATGCTAGAATATTACTTGATATATTTAAAGCTATCAACGCTCTTCCTCCAACAAATAGAAACGAATACAACTTAACACACGTACGTACACAAAGGGAATCTTCTGAAGATAAATGAAGCCATCCGACAATGAGTTATTCTGGATCATAGATAACATGAACTACCTGGATTGGACACTCGTTTTTGGCGCGAAAAATAAGAGGCCACTTTGGCCTCTTATTTTTAATGACGGATTTTTAATAAGTGTTTTAAGAGGCTGATATCTCAGCAACCGCTGGGCCGATTCGCCTGCGGTCTTTTTTGTTGGGTAGCTCCATCCTTTTTGCCCCGCAATTCACTTATCGTGGTGCGTTCATGGGTGACCGTCGTGGCACGTGGCACGTGAAAAGTTGGGGTGTTCAAGTCGTTCTGCTGGAGTAACTGTTTTGAGAGGCTTAATCTCAGTAACCACTGGGGCGATTGACTTGCGGTAACTTTTGTAGAGTAGCTGTATCCCTTCTAACAAACATTGGATACTCGTGATGCACGTGAGTGACCCCCGCTGCACGTGCGAAGTGCAAAAAACAGAAGAGGCGTTAAATTTGTTCCCATTTCAGTAACTCAGCAACTACTGGGGCGACTTCGCTGAAACTTGGCATGCATGTAGGCACCCACAGGGCAATGCCCGCCGTCAAAGACATCCGTATGTCATGGTTGGGGTGCTATTGCACGTGCGGCGCACGTGCAGGAGTCGCTTCCAGATCTCGAGAACGGCTGGACCGATTGCGCTCAAATTTGGTACACGATTAGAGACCGGCGAGAAGGGTGCCATGCAAAAGTCAGCTGGGACCCATATTGCACGTGCGCACGTGCAGGGTGCCGCTTCCAGATCTCGAGAACGGCTGGGCCGATTGCGCTCAAATTTGGCACCTCGCAAGAGACCAGTAAGTAGAATGCCGTGCACCGGGGAGGTTGTAGCTCTGCGCGTGCTCACGTGCTCACGTGCACACCCCTCTGTCATATCTCAGAAACGGACTGACCGATTGCAATGAAATTTGGTGTGTGATTGGATGCTGAATGTGTATGAGTTTTTCTAAGTCGATGAAGGTGAGGTAATGTACGTGCGCACGTGCAGGGGTCGCCTCCAGATCTCGAGAACGGCTGGACCGATTGCGCTCAAATTTGTCCCACGACTAGAGACCGGCGAGAAGAGTGCCTTACCAAAGTCAGTTGGGACCCATATTGCACGTGCGCACGTGCAAGGTGCCGCTCCCACATCTGAAGAACGGCTGTGTCGATTGCGATCATATTTGGCACATCGCAAGAGACCAGTTGGTAGGGTGTCGTGCACCGAAGAGCCTGTAGCTCTGCGCGTGCTCACGTGCGCACGTGCACACCCATCTGTCATATCTCAGGAACGGACAGACCGATTACAATGAAATTTGGTGTGTGATTGGATGCTGACCGTGTATGAGTTTTTCTAAGTCGCGAAGGTGTGCTTATGCACGTGCGCACGTGCACGAGCACACCCAACATTAACAGCTTAAAAACTGGAAGGCCGATTTCGATCAAATTTGCCGTGCGATTAGGGGATAAGACAACAAATTGCATTGACTGTGTGCATCAGAATAAGTGTGAATATGCACAACCCAATTTTTAGAGCTGACAAAACGAGCACGCTGGTGGTGATCAGATTCGGTTCATAATCGATAGCGTAGCTCGCTCAGGCTGGGTAGTACGGTCAGGTCAGGTATATACCTGACCTGACTGAAATCCCCAGTCTGAGCGAGCTACGCTATCGATTATGACCCGAATCTGATCACCACCAGCCTCTGCCCGTTTTTCAGCTCTAAAAATGGATTGTGCACCTTCATATGTGCATACTCGCACCCATTCTGATGCACACAGTCAATGCATTTGTTACCTTATCCCTTAATCGCACGGCAAATTTGATCGAAATCGGCCTTCAGCTTGTTAATGTTGGTGTGTGCACTTGCGCACATGCATATTCAGTGCTGGAGCATACAATAAATGCACTTTTTTATTTCCCAATCGCACACCAGCTTTTACTGAGATCGGCTAGTCCGTTTTTAGCTGTAAATATGGGGTGTGCGGTGTGCACGCGCGCACTTGCTTTAGCACAACTTCGTCGACTTAGAAAAACTCATACACGGTCAGCACCCATTCACACACAAAATTTCATTGTACTCGGTCAGTCCATTCCTAAGATATGACAGATGGGTGTGCACGTGCGCACGTGAGCACGCGCAGAGATACAGGCTCCTCGGTGCACGGCACCCTACCAACTGGTCTCTTGCGGTGTCCCAAATATGATCGCAATCGATACAGCCGTTCTTCAGATGTGGGAGCGGCACCTTGCACGTGCGCACGTGCAATATGGGTCCTGACTGACTTTCGCAAGGCACCCTTCTCGCCGGTCTCTAATCGTGTGACAAATTTGAGCGCAATCGGTCCAGCCGTTCTCGAGATCTGGAGGCGACCCCTGCACGTGCGCACGTGCATTACCTCACCTTCATCGACTCAGAAAAACTCGTACACATCCAGCATCCAATCACACACTAAATTTCATTGCAATCAGTCACTCCGTTTCTGAGATATGACAGAGGGGTGTGCACGTGAGCACGTGAGCACGCGCAGAGCTACAACCTACCCGGTGCACGGCACTCTACTTACTGGTCTCTTGCGAGGTGCCAAATTTGGGCGCAATCGGCCCAGCCGTTCTCGAGATCTGGAAGCGGCACCCTGCACGTGCGCACGTGCAATATGGGTCCCAACTGACTTTTGCACGGCACCCTTCTCACCGGTCTCTAATCGTGTACCAAATTTGAGTGCAATCGGTCCTGCCGTTCTCGAGATCTGGAAGCGACCCCTGCACGTACGCACGTGCAATAGCACCCCAACCATGACATACGGATATGCATTGCCCGGTGGGTGCCTACATGCATGCCAAGTGTCAGCGAAATCGCCCCAGTAGTTGCTGAGTTACTGAAATGGGAACAAATATAACACCTCTTCTGTTTTTTGCACTTCGCACGTGCAGCGGGGGTCACTCACGTTCATCATGAGTATCCAATGTTTGTTAGAAGAGATACAGCTACTCTACAAAAGTTACCGCAAGTCAATCGCCCCAGTGGTTACTTAGCTATAGGCCTCTCAAAATAGTTACTCCAGCAGAACGACTTGGAACACCCCAACTTCTCACGTGCCACGTGCCACGACGGTCACCTGAATGCACTACGATAAGTGAACTGCGGGGCAGAAGGGATGGAGCTACCCAACAAAAAAGACCGCAGGCGAATCGGCCCAGCGGTTGCTGAGATCAGCCTCTCAAAATACTGATTAAAAATACGTCATTAAAAATAAGAGGCCAAAGTGGCCTCTTATTTTTCGCGCCAAAAACGAGTGTCCAATCCAGGTAGTTCATGTTATCTATGTCTGGATGAATGATGGATCGCAATTCTGACTGCTGATGCTTTGGTTCATTTCAGGTACTTGCATCGAAACCGGATCGTCCTCCACAAGGGTGATCTGGACAAATACAAGAAACTAACGATGATGTAAGTGCCAGATAATACCGGCTCACCATTGGAAAAAGCATTATGTAAATGTATCAACAATGTTGAGACAAATGATTGATAAGTTGTGACTTCTAAAGTGATAATAATCGAAACGTGAAAACTGGGTATTAGGTATGTTAGGTATGTTGCATTAAAAATGTATGGAAAAGACAAAACAATTTTGCACTCCCTTGAAACCAAGAACTACCTTAACAATTGTTTTACATCGGCAATGTGCAGCAACCCAATGAGTATCAAACATCTAATTCATTGACCTTTTATTCCATAGAAACCTGAATGACAATGGCATCGAAGATATTCCGGAGGGTCTTTTTGCAAACCAAGACAGTCTTTTCAAGCTGTAAGTATGGCGCCGTTCACTAATTGGAGAGAGAGAGAGAGAGAGAGAGAGGAGAGGAGAGAGAGAGAGAGAGAGAGAGAGAGAGAGAGAGAGAGAGAGAGAGAGGAGAGAGAGAGGGGAGGAGAGAGGGAGAGAGAGAGAGAGAGAGATTTGGCAAGTTAGCTGTTTTCCCCACCAGTCAGATTGTTTTAGTAACCCAATACACTGAAATGCTATAACCTGACTTTTAGGAGTTGTTTTGTTCAGTTGCATGAGTATGCATTTATAGGAACATCGCTTTCACTGGTTGTTAATATAATCAAATAACTTTATTTTCATGCCAAGTCCGCACCCAACTTGGTCTGTGTGACATCCCGTTGCCTCCGTCTGCCCTGTTCAGATTGCTGCGAAGGAACCGGCTGACTCGTCTGCCGGAGATGGCGTTCTCTGGCGCCGGCTCGTCTCTGACGCAGCTGCTGATGGACCAGAACCTGCTGACCCACATGCCGCCCATCGGACACCTCACTCAGCTGCACTTCCTGTGAGTTGCAGCGAGCAGAAACTCGCCAGATAGCTCGGAAGAGTTAATACCCTGGGGCGATTCACAGGTGGGAGGAGGCTAAAGATAACAGTTGTCAGACAATTTGCTATCGCCAATATAGCGATAACTGTAGTCTTTTCGTACGTCCCTGGCCAGTGGCCATACCGTGCAGAGTGCCAACAATTTGGGGCGCAATCAGGCAAAATGCGTTACTATTACTAGCCTTTCCTGTAGTCGCAATTTGCTGCCCTAATCGGGTGACGCAAGCCAATAAAGTAGTCGCGCAATGCGGCTCTTTGGCTTGGGAGATGTTTTTCCTGATACCTGATTGTTTTTTTTTTACTATTGCCGTAGAAACAGCCAGACCTACTGAGTCCCTTCGTTTCGCGTGTGTGCGCGCGTGTGTGTGCGCGTGTGCATTTGTTTATATTGTATGTAGTAGTCTATGCCAAAACGTATCCAGTAACTATACACGGCTGCATTTACTTTTCCAGAAATATGAGCTACAACAGACTAACTCTAGAAAATTATGAGTTCCCAGAGTGCAAGATACAGAAACTGTAAGTACATGTTCCACTTAATTGCATCATTTAATTATTCCGTTTCACTTATAAGGTTTTATCGCTATAGTTTTGTGAACGACAGACATCCGTGCACGGACGTCGAATCTATAAAAAAGGAATCATGATTCCTTTTATAAAAAATATCCATTCATTAAAATGTCGCATGTATGTATTTTTTTTTTTTTTGAAGTGGAATAATCACTTCGTCAATAACAATACTTATTAGGCTGTCAACCAGTTCAGGGTTATTTATCCCATTTGTAGACGACGAATGAAACCACTTTGCACTCATTGGCGAGTTTCAGCTCCATTGAACAATACGAACTTCCCTCAGGCATCTTGACGATAATCAGATTCGGCACATCACCAACAAAACCTTTCGGAAACTGCTGCATCTGAAGACGCTGTGAGTACGATTTCAAGAATAAAAATGTGTTTCACATAGATCGTTCAAATAAGCATCATTTGTTTTCGTTTCAGTGTCAGGTTGGGAAGGAGCAGTGGAGCTCAATTTTGAAATGTTTAACCCTCGCCCCGTTTGGGGGGGCCATTTTGGCCCCCCCTGTGGGTTTTCCTGAATAGCAAGAAAACGGCGGCGCGCAGCGCCGCCAAATTTTCAGTACCTTCCCGGGCATCAATTTGACACCTCACACCAAATTTCAAGTCCTAGGTCACCTTAGGTCAGGAGTTATTGAGGTCAAACTGAGGTTATGTTCGAGCAAAAATGAGCAAAAAACATGCAATCTTGAAACGCTCACCAAATCTACAGTTATCAAGCAATTTCAAAGTTCTTTATGGTCTAGTAGACAAAAAGCGGCGCTACAACTGCTATCTCGGATTTTCAAAATTTTGGTTTTTGACCAAAAAAAAATCAAAAAATTGATTTTTTAGAAAACTTTGAAAAAATCCAAATTTTTCCGAATTTGGAAAAAACCGGAATATATGTGATAGTCCCAGCGCTCTTCTAAATGCATACCAAATTCAGATCGATATCTCGTTTTTTGGCCAAGTTATAGCGAAAAAAACTTTCAAAAATGATGACGTCAAATTTTTAACTCAATTTTTAGCGATTCTAGACCACGTACGGCAAACAAAGACCACCATTGAACTCCCCGTGACGAGCTGCATCGATTCGATACCCATTTTATGCAAAAATATTAACTTTGAAATTTGACCTAATTTGACCTGACCTTGACCTGACCTTGACCTGACCTTGACCAAAACGTGATCTAAGCTGGCCCAAAGGCTGCCTGACCCATATAATCGCATTTGTCATGTAAAGGACCATAAAACATGTATCACACGACACTTTCATATTGTGACCCCCCGTGACCTGACTGTGACCTGACCTGGTATCAGTGACCTCAAATGCAAAATATGTGTTGAAGAACATTTCCCCATCGATGATTTTCAATGAAATGCATTTTACTCGATTTTACAACGCATTTCTTGAAGTGCCTGTAAACGGTGAAAATTGGACCTTTGACCTGACCTGTGACGTCATCGGTTTGACCTAGGTCAAAAAATTGGGTACAAGGTAGTTCCCCGTTGGGGCTATCCAACGCCGTTTACCGCTTGTCGCTATGTTGCGTGGTTCTCGAGATCTTAGGGGGGGGGCCCAAAACCCCCCCCTCCAACCGGGCGCTTTGCTCGGCAGAGCCAACGGGGCGCGGGTTAATGTTATCATGAAACCTACTGCTCTAGCAAATCTATGAAAAATCTTTAATGCTCGTCTCGCGAAACTCCATTGTGCATATTCCTACTAAAATAGTCGTTGGTGAGTCAAGAAGCTCCATTGATTTCACTTCCAAAAACAAGCTATCCATTTAATTGCCTCTCTCACAAATAGCTTTTCACATTCAGTGCTACACTCGATGTCGATAACACCAGCACACAGCATACAGGCCGGTTGACATAGGATCATCTAACATCTCGAGGCGATTTCATTTTTCAAATGGGCTCGTTTCCGTTTGGGCAGGT